AAAAAAAAAAAAAAAAGTCGTCTCTGTTCACCGCATCCACGCTAACATCTACTGCTTTTTGATTTTTTTTATTATGGCCATTCTTGCGGGAGTGAGGTAGTATTGCACTGCGGTTTTGATTTGCATTTCCCTGATCACTAATGATGCAGAACATTTTCCATGTTTGTTAGTCATTTGTATATATTCTTTTCAGAACTATCTATTCATGTCCTTAGCCCACTTTTTGATGGCACTGTTTTTTTCTTACTGATTTGAGTTAGTTGTAGATACTGGATATTAGTCATTTTTCAGATATACTGATAAGGAAGATTTTCTCCCACTCTGTGGGTTGTCTGTTTACTATGCTAACTGTTCCTTTTGCCATGCAAAAGCTCTTTAGTTTAATTAGGTCCCAGCTATTTATTTTTGTTGTTGCTGCATTTGCTTTTGGGTTCTTGGTCATGAAATCCTTGCCTAAGCCCATGTCTAGAAGGGCTTTTCCAGTGTTATCTTCTAGAATTTTTATGGTTTCAGCTCTTAGGTTTAAGTCTTAAATCCATCTTGAGTTGATTTTTGTATAAGTTGAGAGATGAGGAACCAGTTTCATTCTCCTACATGTGGCTAGCCAATTATCCCAGCACCATTTGTTGAAAGGGTGAACAGGGAACACTTCTACACTGCTGGTGGGAATGTAAACTAGTACAGCCACTATGGAAAACAGTAAGGAGATTCCTTAAAGAACTAAAAGTAGAAATACTATTTGATCCAGTAATCCCACTAGTGGGTATCTACCCAGGGGTAAAGAAGTTGTTATTTGAAAAAGATAAGTATCTTTCAAATATGCACATGTATATTTATAGCAGCACAATTCATAACTGCAAAATCATAGAACCAACCCAAATGCCTATCAATCAATGTATGGATAAAGAAGTTGTGGTATATAGATGCACAATTGAATACTACGCAACCATAAAAAGAAATGAATTAACAGCATTTGCAGTGACGTGGGTAAGACTGGAGACTATTATTCCAAGTGAAGTAACCCAGGAATGGAAAACCAACATCGTATGTTCTCATCACTGATAAGTGGGAGCTAAGCAATGAGGACACAAAGATGTAAGAATGATACAATGGACTTTGGGGACTTGCGGGGAAGAGAAGGAGGGGAGCGAGGGATAAAATACTACAAATATGGAGCAGTGTATATTGCTCGGGTGATGGGTGCACCAAAATCTCACAAATCGCCACTAAAGAACTTACTCAAGTAATCAAATACTAGCTGTACCCCAATCACTTAAGGAAAAAAAAAAAAAAAAAAAAAAAAAAGATGTCTCCCACCCACTGACACATCAAAGGGTGGGTCATATTCTTTCAAGGGTAATGCCATCCCCCTTGCTAATGCCTGCTTAGGAACACCAGCATAAGCCAGTTGGCACATGGCATTTCTAGCCAGAGGTACTGGATGAGACAATAAGACTCGTAAGAGGTATGCTGGCCTTCCTTGCTCTGGAGAAAACCACAGATAAGTTCTTTACTAGGTTAAGCTGGGTTGTCTATTACTTTAAGCAAAAAGCATCCCAACTGTTAAATAACTTAAAAACGAACAGGTTAAAAATTCTGATCAACATCAACAAATGTGATTATGAACAAATCTAAACATATCTATGAAACCCATGATCCTTGGACTAATATTGGCCTTTGTACATTCTGAGAGTTTAGATGACTCTAACAGAACATGGTACTCCAAGAGAAGTACATGTGGGTGGAGAAGTGAAGGTCGAGAAACAGCAAAGTCACTGGAGATATTCATGTAACAACCATATCACAGATCAAATGGAGAGGATGAAAAATCTCTTCTTGCTTTACTACCTGCCATGCCAAAAACCACATAACAAATAAAATAGATCAGGCCGGGCACAGTGGCTCACACCTGCACTTTGGGAGGCCACAGTGGATAAGATCACAAGGTCAGGAGTTCGAGACCAGCCTGGCCAACATGATGAAACCCCATCTCTACTAAAAATACAAAAATTAGCTGGGCATGGTGGTGTGGGCCTATAATCCAAGCCACTCCGGAGTCTGAGGCAGGAGAACTGCTTGAACCCGGGAGGTGGAGGTTGCAGTGAGCGAGATTATGACAAGGCACTCCAGCCTGAGTGACAAAGCAAGACTCCGTCTTGGGGGAAAAGAAAAACCAGACCTGGCTTCATTCAAGTCTATATTAGGGGGAATAATAAACATCCTAATCCAATCCAAACTCTGGGAAGGGGTGGGGGCAAAAATGAACATTTTTTAAAAAATACTTGTAAACTAAAAAGCAGTTTATAATTGCTAACAAGAAATATCATAGCCAAAAATAAATTTAAAACTTCCAGGGCACAAAAACATCTTACTGGCCTTATATGGACCTGTCCTAACAGCTGTTATTACCGGATTCTGGCATTTTGCTTCTTACTTCCTCCTGACACTGTCGGCCTTGCCGATTTTCATAAGAAGATTCAGGCAGTTGCTTCCCTGTGGGATATACAGCAATTTTCCAATTCTATGACTCAGAAAATGGCAAGAGAAGGAAAGGTTCTTCTCTTCCAACCCTAGACAAAATCAGAAAATGTTTATTTAGCTCTGGGAGAGCAAGTCTCAGTTAAGTTACCATACAGACTTTCACAAACTTTTTTTCTTTCACGTCAAATATTTACCAAGAATTTAGTATATGCAAGTCAGTCTATTATTTATCCAAAGCCAATGCATGAAGCATTTTTATCAGTTCCAAACTTCCTTTCTCTACATCCCTTATAACTAAGTCAAATATTTTAAAGAAAAATAGAGTCATGCCTCGCAAATCTTGCAATTAAACGTTTTTTGCCAGAATTGATGGACTGTAGAGCAAGCTTACTTCCAGAATATTGTTTTGAAAGAGTCCACACTTTTCTTTCTCTTAATTTCAATAGTTTTAGGGGTCCAAGTGGCTTTTGGTTACATAGATGAACTGCATAGTGATGAAGTCTGGGATTTTAGTGTACCCATCACCCGAATGGTGTACAATGCACCCAGTATATCTTTCTTTAAACACAAGTTCAAATGATATGCACTTAAATCGTTTATTAAAATGCAAATAACCTTTGAAAATTAGTGGAAACGAACTGTATTAATAAAGTAATGAATACTATCTGGAGGCAACATCTGCACTAACAACCAAGTTTCGCACAGAGAAACTCCTGATAATTCAGAAACAACTAAAGGCAAAGTCTCATTCAGAATGTAAACCATGTATGGCAAATAGTGAACCAGTTTATATTCATTAACTGCTACGAAGAAAACCAGTGATCCTTTCCGACGAGATGGCCTTTAAAAAGAAAATGATGTAGGCTACCCAAAAAGCAATCTTATTTTTGCGGAAACACATTTCACACTCGGGAAACAGCGAGGGCCGGTAATCGACAGCCTCCTACAGACGACGGAAACACGGACAACGCCAGGGACCGCCAAGGAGCGATGGGCTGGCCCTGGGCCATGGGAGCACAACCCGGGCGCGCAGTTGGCCGCCTCCCCGAGGATCGCGCCCGGCGCCCCCTCCCAACACCCAGAGCGCGCTTCGCCGCCCGCCTGCCCCACCTGCGAAAGTTTGCACCTCCGCAACCCCGCCCCTCGCCACTACTGGCCCCTCCGGCCGCGGCGCCGTCGCCATGGCGACTGGTCCCCACCCCCACTCGGCCAGGGCTGGCCGCGCCGCAGCCCCGCGGCAACCGGGAAGAGCTCCCACAGGAATCCGGACAGGGGCTACCCAGCCCCGGAGAGGAGGGACGTAGGGGGCGGGGGAGGATGAAGAGGTGCAGAAAGCGGAAGTCTTGCGGCTCCCCTACCTGGGGCCCAGCCTAACCCGGGGGATTCTCACCCTTCACTTTGCCGAAGGTGCCGACCCCCAGCGTGTCCCCCAGAATGTAGTGACCGATCTTCACCCGCCCGTCGTGTTTCTGCTTCTCGGCTGTCGCCATCTTTCTCCAGGAACTGAGTCTGCGCATGGCGCCGCGGGAGGGGGCGGAGGGGGCGGGTAGGGCCGCGCCGGGGGCGGGCGGGGAGGGGGTGGGGACGCGGGAGGGCAGCCGCGGAGCCAAGCCACCGCCCTGCGCCGCCCGCCCAGGCCCCGCTGCCGCCGTCGGGCGCAGACGCTCCCCCTGGCGGGGCGGGCGACGGCCGCCGGGAGTGGCACCGGTACCCGCCTCCTCGCCCCGCATCCTCTGGCCTGGGTGCCCGCCCACTGGCACGCGGAGGGGCTTCCTGGGACGTTGAGGCGGACCGTCGTCCCCCGGCTCTTTTCTCCTCTGGCAGAGTTTCTGCCCGCTGTGATCTCCCGTAATTACCATTTGGGGATCGGAGGAGACCCCCTCTCTGGGTGACTCCAGAGGGGAGATGAGGACTGGAGTCATCACGCCCGCTCGGGTGATGCAGATCCGCGGCTTATTACGCGGGCCGCGAGAATTAAAGCAAGGCAGGGGACACCGCCCTGCCACTCCTTTCTAACCTTGAGTCTCATCTTCCTTTCTTGGATGGAATCTAGAAGCCGCAGTTTTCACTTGCGTCTGTGATGGAGTTTCCCGCCCCTCGTCCCCTCCCCACTCCCAACCCGCGGTCTCTTTTCGCTTTGAGCCGGTGAGTTGCTACTGTGCCCCACGACGGCTCCAGGAGCGCTGTCGTTGTTTTCTTCTGGAGATTATCCTGAAATTTCCCCCACAAAGCAAGCTCTGTTGCGAAGAGCCGGCTGGGGAGATGTGCAAGTGAATGTGTATTCCAAGAGGGGGGTGATACGCAGAACTTTTGGTGTATAGGAATTAATACTTTTAGATTATCAGTAAAAATTTTACGTTCACTAGACTGAGAGCGAGGCTTACGGTAACATCAGTCAGATCAACAAATATTTATTGTACTTTCAATGAGTAATACTTAGTTCATTACATAAACATAAAGGGAACCATACCACAGCATAAAGTCTGCTTATTTTAAATAAAATGTTTGAGTTTCTCAGTTTCACTCTTCTAATTAGTAGGCAAAGTCAAGTGTTTGGTTATATTCTCTCAATTTTGCAATGTCATAGCATTGGGCCAGTGTCAATGGCAAAAAAAAAAAAAAAAGTACCTTCATGAAAAGAGTATAAAAAACTAAAAATGTAATTTTTAATCCCAACAAAAATTAATTACCCAACTCTCCTGATCTTCTCCTCTCTGTTTCTGAAATCAAACATGCATTAGGCAATATTTTGTTCCAAGGAAGGTATTGCAGGGGAAGCAAAAGTTTCTGCCTTTGAGCTTAGTATTGCACCAGATAAACAGGGAACAGTCCCAGCTAGCCTTAATCAAGTTCCTACTGTATTGGGGACTGCACATTGTTTGAAGGGAAAAAAGTTAAGAAATCTTTGATTACTGATGTATTTGGGGGGCAGATGGTGTGGTGGTTACTGTTGTCACTTTTGGTGTCTGGTTTTTTCACTTTTATCTGTTTGCCTTGTGAGTTTCTGCAAGTCCGGATTTTGGGATCTCTGTAAAGCAGAAATAGCTCTTGGGATTCCCATGGGGGCCAGGGAACCTTAAACTCCCTCCCCTCCCCAAACAGCATCTTAAATTACTTTAAGTTTTCATTACGGCTAGAATTTAACCCAGGAAAGTTCCACCATTTCTTCTAACCTGAAAGAAAAAGATCTGACAACATCTCTTTTCGTGCCCAAGGATGGGAGAGATAGTGCCCCTAGGAAAAAAAAAAAAGGAAATGATAGCAAAGTATCTCAGCTCTGTACCAGCGAGCATGTTGCAAGGGAACAAACTGAAGCTAAATTTTGCAAATCCATTTACCAATCTCTTCATGAAACTATGAAAACTCAAGACAGTAACATAACCTTATTTTTTAGTAGAAACATCGTTTGTTTCTGCTTTGTCCTATTGTAGACTGTAATTGTATTTAATAAATAGTCATTAAATGGCATTTACACTTAAAAGCATTGTTGGGGAGATAAATCCTAGAATTATAGATCAAAAAATTGGATAGGAACTTAGACATCTTCTTATCCAGTTTCCCATAGTCTCTGAATTAATGCTTAATGTTTTTAGTTTTGGTTTTGTTTCTTTTCCATTCATGTTGAGTTAAAAACTGAATCCAATTCACTGTAAGACTACTGTCTTAAGAAGCCTCCTTGCTTTTTCTCTTCATTACCTTTTTAAATTTTTTGTCACATTTTCTTCCACCCTCTCTTCCTTTCATTCTCCCATTGATCTATCCCCAAATGTTCACTTCCTTCATTCTTCAAGCTTTTGTTAACTGCCAGACACTATAGAAAACTTAAATTTAAAAAAAAAATGAAAAGTCATGGTCCCTACCTTGAAAGAGCTCATTGTCTACAGTGGCAGTCCTCTATATTCCACCATCCCCATTCATCCAGGAGAGATAATATTTACATGCTCAACATTCTACCAGGAGGAAGCAGAGATAAGGTAGACTGTAGCTTACACCCAGTTTCCTGACTTATCTGTTGTAACTCTACCCCATCTCATTAAAATTTATTGGAATATAAGTGGGCAGGAGTTACATTAGAGAAGTCACTTTTTGTTTGTTTGTTTAAGAGACAGACACTTGTTCTGTTGCCCAGGCTAATGTCCAGTGGTTGGATCACAGCTTACTGTAACCTCAAACTCTTGGGCTCAAGCATTCCTCCTACTTCAGCCTTGAGAGTAGCCAAGACTAACGGTGCCCACCATCACACCCAACTATTTTTATTTAATTTCATTTTTGGTAAAGATGAGTTTCTCCCTGTATTACCGAGACCAGTCTAGAACTCCTGGCCTCAAGCGATCCTCCCACCTTAGACATGAGGCACTACGCCTGGCCTACAGAAGTAACTTGACTCCTTTCTAGCTTAAGTGGGAAAAAAAGCAGGCCAGGCACAGCAGGCCTTTGGGAGGCTGAGGCAGGTAGATCACCTGAGGTCAGGAGTTTAAGACCAGCCTCACCAACATGGAGAAACCCCATTTCTACTAAAAATACAAAATTTGCTGGGCGTGGTGGCATGTGCCCATAATCCCAGCTACTCAGGAGCCTGAGGCAGGAGAATCACTTGAAGTCAGAGATTACAGTGAGCCTAGATTGTGCCACTGCACTCCAGCCTGGGGAACAAGAGTGAAACATCTCAAAACAAGAAAAAACGGGGTTGGAGGGGAGTAAAGTGTTTGCAAACTTAAGTACTATAGCTTTTATTAGTACAAATAAGTTACAGTACGTCTCAGTTGCTAATGAAGACATACCAACACTGTGGTGATATCCAGTCTCATGGAGGAGCTGTGTGATTAGTAGTTAGCTGCTTCCTCTCCTTTTAGACATTGTAAGGGAGCAATGCCTCCTTGGAGTCTTTTCTTCTCAAGGTCACCACAGCATTACTAGACTCTACACTGCCAGGTGGATATTACACTTCTCCAGTTTCTATCTCTAAATATGGTAGCCAGAACTAAAACTTCTGAGTACTACACTGCTTTTAATACAGCCTAATATTTCCTTAGCTTACTTGTAGTTACATTGTAACTAATATTTTATCTTTATTAAACAAACACTATGTATTGAGCTGTTTGCTAGATCCTAGGCACTTAAAAAACAAAGGAACTGGCCGGGCGTGGTGGCTCAAGCCTGTAATCCCAGCACTTTGGGAGGCCGAGGTGGGTGGATCACGAGGTCAAGAGATCGAGACCATCCTGGTCAACATGGTGAAACCCTGTCTCTACTAAAAATACAAAAAATTAGCCGAGCATGGTGGCACGTGCCTGTAGTCCCAGCTACTCAGTAGGCTGAGTTGGGAGAATCATCTGAGCCCAGGAGGTCAAGGCTACAGTAAGTGGTGTTCATGCCACTGCACTCCAGCCTGAGTGACCAAGTGAGATAGATCCTCTCAAAAATATAAAAATTTAAAAAAAGAAAAGAAAGGAACAGGTGACATGGGGGATGTAGGGAACTTGGGGAAGGCATTCCAGGTAGAAGAAAGAGCAGATATAAAATCACAGAGGGGGCAGGGTACAGTGGCTCATGCCTGTAATTCCAGCAGTTTGGGAGGCTGAGGTGGGCAGATCACCAGAGATCAGGAGTTTGAGACCAGCCTGAAACCCTATCTCTACTAAAAATACAAAATTTAGCCAGGCGTACTAGTGGCAGGCATCTAATCCTAGCTACTCGGGAGGCTGAGGCAAGAGAATCGCTTGAACTCGGGAGGCAGAGGTTGCAGTGAGCCAAGATTGCAACACTGCACTCCAGCCTAGGCAACAGAGCGAGACTCCACATCAAAAAAAAAAAAAAAAAAAAAAAATCACAGAAGGAAGTAGGCTGTTTAGGGAAAAGCTAATTGTTACAGAGGCTGGAATCTGATGTACAGGGGGACTTGTTAGAAGAAGGAAATAAGAGGTAAACCTACTAAAGTTAAACAGACCAAATCCTGAAATACCTCATGTGCTTCTCAGTTTGAACATTATCTTGTGTACAGTGATAAGCCATGGAAAGATGTGAAGTAGATGCATTTTAGAAATACATTATTTTCCCCAAAATTGGTAGCTGTGGGTACATTTGGGAAGAGAAATGAGGTGACTAAGAGTCAGGGGCAAGGGGCAGACTTTTCTCTGTATATCCTTTGTAAATTTTTATTTATAGAATCAAAAAAGTTAACTTTTAGAAAAATTTTCTAAAAACTCTGACTTTATTATGGAGGATATAGATTAGAAGAGCAAGACCAAAGCGGTAAATCAGGAAACTAGCAATCACCTAATGAAGAAGTGAGGCAGGCACCACATACGAAAACGAAAACCTCAAGACCTGATTCATAAAGTGGAATTAGGAAGGAATCTTAATTACCTTCAAGGTTTCTGGCAGGATTTTAGGGAAATGGGTGTTGAATTGAAATAATGAATATTTATAACATTAAGACATCAAAGAGGCTGGGTGCAGTGGCTCACGCCTATAATCCCAGCACTTTGAGAGGCCAAGATAGGCAGATCACGAGGTCAGGAGATTCAGACCATCCTGGCTAACACGGTGAAACCCCGTCTCTACTAAAAATACAATCTCTACGCTGTGCGTGGTGGCACGCATCTATAGTCCCAGCTACTCAGGAGGTTGAGGCAGGAGAATCACTTGAACCCAGGAAGCAGAGGTTGCAGTGAGCTGAGATCACGCCACTGCA